GTGCCGTCAGAATGAGAGTCCAAACAGCTGAAAAAACTCAGCTGAAAATTTCTCTCCTGATTCAGACCAGACCATTTTTTCACTGGAGGAATTGTTATTATGGATTATGGTCTCATATTTTAGCCAGAAACAATGTTTTGAACTTAAAAACGTATTGATGATAGATTTGTTTCTTACAAACACACAGCTTTTGGCTTCAGAAGACATTAATTGATGGACTGGAGTGGTGTGGATTACTTGTGGATTATTGTGATGTTTTTATCAGCTGTTTGGACTCTCATTCTGACGGCACCCATTCACTGCAGAGCATCCATTGCTGAGACACTGATGCAATGCTGCATTTCTCCAAATCTGATGAAGAAACAAACTCATCTGCATCTTGGATGACCTGAGGGTGAGGACATTTTCATTTTGGGGTGAACTATTCCTTTAACAAGCAGACACACACACATAAAAAGTTAGCTTACTGTGCACAATATGCAAACTGCAGTAATAGTACGAGTAGTACTGGCAGGCCATTTCAAACATACCGCTTGTGGCTCATCATCAGAACATTTCAAGTCTTCAACACAGAAAACACACAATTTCTTCTGAATTGAAAGTGTTTTTAGCTGACCCAGTCTGAAGGGACCCACTGCGGCTCGATGTCCAGTTTGTCAATGAGTCTCAGCAGCTCAGAGACGCTCTTCTCCTGCTCAGTGTTTGTGATGACCGCATCGAACAAGTGACCGTAGCTGTGCTTCATCTCACGCACTTTCTCCAAGGTCTCTCTCACATCCTCAGGCTGCGCAAAGGAAACATGATAATTATTGTTTTGTCAATTGCTCAAAGAGAAATCTGGTGGCAATTATGTTGCTTGTGTTCTCAAAAACCTAATTCATACATAATTAAAAATGTATAATGAACAAATATATACATTTATTTATATACAGTATAAATATATATGTACTATTTACTAAATATTTTTACTATACATGTATATATATATATATATGTGACCCTGGACCACAAAACCAGTCATAAGGGTCCATTTCTCAAAATTGAGATTTATGCATCATCTGAAAGCTGAATAAATAAGCTTTCCATTGATGTATGGTAACAAAGAGTGAAAAACTGAAGGGGGTCTGAATACTTTCCGTACCCACTGTATATATATAGTTGACTGCTAGTGTAAATGATCTAAAGGAAAAATGTGTATCTTGAAGACCATGTGTTTCTTCACTCCTCTGGTCAGCAGGGTGGAGAATCGCTCCTGAGGAGGAGGAGGAGGAGGAGGAGAAGGCCTGATGAAGATGATGTATGGTTTCAGATCTGAGGAACACAGCACTCGCAGGGACTGAGAAATACAAAACACAAATAACCAAATGAAATGTAAACCAGAGACACAAATTCAAAACAAGCTCAGAAAAAAAAACAATCTAAATGTACTTAATATATAGTAATGTTCACTGTCTAATAGTATGAGACAGATCTGTTTTTCAAACCAAAGCTAATCTGCAACAAATACCAAAATCCTATGAATTAATATCACAAAAACATGTCAAGGTCATAACAAAGATGATTTTCCTGGCAATTAAATACATTACCCTACAAATTTGCATTACTGCATGTCCTGTTGTTTTAGGCTTTCTGATTATTTTTATTTTTTGTTATTAGACTTAAGAGGTTCAACTTTTATTTTTGCATTATATTACAGTCAGTGCCAGAAATGAATGGGGTTTAGGGCAAAAAATTCTAATATGATGTAATAAATCCCACTGTTTTTAATTTGTAAAACCTGATTCTCAGATTTCTGTTCTAGATCACAGATGTTTTAACATATTAATTCAACTTCAAGTATTTGACATAAATTCCAAAAAATGTCTTCTTTTTTTTTCTAAAGATTTTCTAGATCATCTTGTGCCTCAATATAACTTTTTATTGCAGATGAAACATCCAGCATTACATAAAACAAAAGTCTCATCTTTTATAGCACCATTTAGTTTTTTTTTTGCAGGTTATTATACCTCAAATAGCAGATAGCAATCTTAACTTTAAATTCCTACAATCAAATGTTGTGAAAATACCTACCTGGTAGGTTTTCCTAAATTCCTAGAATACTCAACTAGACTACTATCATTTCTGTGCCACTAACATCACCAAACACATATGCAAAAAGAATGATTGTTTACAACTTTGTCATAGATAACTAAAACTAAAAATGTAAAAAAATAAAATAAAAAAATACAACATTTTTGTTACTTGAAATAAATGTTAACTGAAATAAAATATTTGAGAACATTTAACCTTTTTTCAGTCTACATTTCTCATTTTCAGTTTGACTTAATAATAAAAAAAAAATAATTAAATAAAAAAAATTTAAATTGGGGGGTGCAATAAAAACAGAATTACTAAAACTTTAAAAATGGAAAATATAACAATAAAACCTAATCCAAAATATTAATGAAAAATTATAACAATCTCAATGGTACTTATCAAACAGGTTTCCTGACATTATTGAGTCAGTGTTGTTGTGTTGGGCTCATTGAGATCCTCAAACTGATCAATTATTCGATAACTCCATGTTACACCTTCCACAGAAATCAACATACTTACAAGTTGATCTCATTGAACTAAGATACGACTAAGTATGTATTTAACATACAAAAAAGACACGCTTCATCTTTGTGTAAACATTTCTTTTTATGATGAATATTGAATTTCAGCAGTGCCCATAGGCGGAGGATGAACCAACTCCAGGGTAAGGCTAAAAGCAGCCAAATGTATTAAACATCATAAACCCGTCTTTTTAGGCAAGAACCAGACATGGGTGTCATGTAGGCTAAAAAAATGTTTAATAGGACTGAATTTGTATTTAACGTGATTACAATTTAATAAAAACGTTAGAAATTGATAGATTATATAACGTTTTACATATACTGTATAACTTGCTTTCATTGTATGTAATTATGCAAGTATCATTATAAAAGGATGCAAGTGATTAACTTGTTAAATTTCTCATTTAAAAATCTAGTGTTTAATCATGTCTAAATATTTATTCAAATGAAGAACTTAAAAATAATTAAGCGGGTATGACCTGCAATATTCTAGATATATTTAGTAATGAGCCATACAGGTGCCTAGTGGGTAAACCATGGCATTACAAATGAAAAAGATTTTTTTCTGACCACAAAATTACTTTAATTTGCCTCTGCTTAGGAATTTAAAACCCTTTTCTCTATTTTAACCTTAAATACTACACTAATTGTAATATAAGTAGTAGAAATATTAGAAAAAAACATTTTAAGTCATTAATGGACCATAATTATTGCACAAATAGCATTTAGTACCAAAAGATTTCCTCAAAATATTAAATAAATATTATTGAACTAAAATATACAACACTTATTTAACTGAAAAATAGTTGAGCTGTATGGTCACATTATAAGTACTAAGCAATAGGCCTACCTGAGGGTTAAGAAAACCAGAATAAAGATGATACTGTAAATGCCATCGACGTAATAATCAATGCATAATATGCTGTAATGTTTAGCAAAAAATTGCTGCAAATACCTGTATAATGAAGCTGTTGTCTATCCTACTTTAACCCATTCAACTGTATTGTGCGCTGGTTTGTTTAGAGAGCTCCATGAACCACGTGACCGTGCGGCGACACCTGCGAGATCAAAGCTTGTTGCAACTCTGTTTTTCAATGGCTCTGGCTTTAACTGAAGCGCTACATTTTACGATTTACACCACATTAAGTGCGCTAAAACTGTATTTTTTTGTTTGAATTTAGTATTAAAACTTACAAAATTTGAACTTTGTTTCACATCGCAAGCAGGGTTGCCAATTTGGCGTGAGATTTACATGAGCAGAGTGAGAGCGTGAGACTGGAAGCTCACGCCAAATGCGTGAGAGTTGGCAACCCTGCATTTACATCTGCGCTTTGTTTATGATCAGAGAATTCGCAAGAGTCCGGAATTCAGTCAGCGAACGCGTGCGCACTCTACAAAACTGATCTGTTTCAACGATGACTCATCTGAACGCTTCTGATTGGCCATTGCATTCCTAAGCTCAACAGAATTGTGTGTGATTGGTTCAAATGCGCAACACTGTAAAAACGCCTAAAATGAAATACGGTGCAACATGAACAGATCGACAATCGCCGCAATCGACACTGTCTATTCATATTCACTTTGCTAGCAACAGGCGTAATAGATTTCATTTATTTGTGCAGGGCATTTTTGCCCCAATTGTCCCCGTGGCCAGGGGAAGGCTAAGCCTTCCCCAGCCTTACACATGCTCCGCCTATGGCAGTGCCCTTATTTGATTTTATTTGAAAGGCACCTGATAAAAATGTACACCAAGAAGCGAACAGAAAACACGAGACTATATCAGTTGTAGTTGTATTTAATAGAGTCGTAACTATACAGATAACAAGTTCATACAAAATGAAAAATGGGCATAAAAGGCCTCAAAAAACCAAAACATGCAACATATCTACAAATCTTCCAGGTGATAATCCATGTGCCATTTCTTGAAGCAGTTACGTGATGACACGAAGCACAACGCCACCTTGCAGTGGGAGCAGTATATGGGAGTCTTGACTTTATTTCCTTGCAGTTTGCACATGACACAAACTCGCCTCCCATGCGTAGCATCAGAACCGAAATACTCCGGATAGCATCGCTCCGTCTGGGCAGGTGAGGCTGGGGGAGACGACTCCGTGTCGGACGGAGTTTCATTCATTTCAGTAGGGGTTGAAGGCACGTGTGCCGACTTACTTGTGGAGACCGGCGTGGCGGATGTTGAGGGATCTTTGACAGCAAAGGGATTCTTACCTCTGCCGGCACGTGCAAGTTCAGAAACAAGAGTTTCCCTAAACAATTTATGGTTGAGAGGAACCTTGCTCTGAGCTTTGGCCAATTCTTGGTGAAGGATGAAACTGTTGACTACTGCGATGTCAAGAAAATGAAAGAAGAAGGTCTTGTACCATTTTGTGGTTTTGTGGAGGACGTTATAATGCTCTATGAGGGAATCCGAGAGATCAACGCCTCCCATGTATTTGCTGTAGTCCTTCACAGCGGATGGAACAGGAATTAGACGTGTTCTCCAAACCCCATCGGAACCCTTGGCGTTCCTGGTGACTGTATCCCCCGTGAATGCCTTGTGAATCGAGGAACACATGAGGACTTCTCTCGCATCCATCCATTTGACGAACAGAAGAGGACCTTGTCGACACCAACGGATGGATCCTAATTCAGATCTTCCGCTCAGATCGCTGACCTTCGGTAAACTGGAGGCATGGCGCAACGTGCCACAAGCGAGGATGCCGTTCTGCAATAAATCCAAGAAAAGTGTCGGGCTGGTGTAGAAATTGTCCATGTATAACATATAACCCTTGCCGAGGACCTTGTGATCCAGTAGTCTCATTACCGAATCGTACCCGGCACCTTTCCCCGACGACGTTGAAGTCTTTCCTTCATACACGAAGAAATTCCAGGTGTACCCACAGGACGAATCGGCAAGAACGAAGAGTTTGTAGCCCCATTTAATTGGTTTGTCATTCATATATCTCTTGAGTCCAATCCTAGCTTTGGTAGCAACCATTCTCTCGTCTACCAGAATCTCTCTGTTGGGATGAAAGTGTTTCCTACACGCCGAAAGAACGTCTGTGTACAGAGGCTTGATTTTGAGCAGCCGGTCATAACCTGTGGTGCCTTTCTTCTTATTGTTCTCCTCGTCCTCTTGAGGATCACAGAGGTGAAGATTCCAGGAGATGGCCTGAAATCTTGCTCGGGACATGATGGATTGCGGGTACGAGAAATTGTACATTCGTTTTCTCGCCCAGTAGTCTGCAATTGACTTCGCCTTCACCAGTCCCATGTAGACAACTAACGCCACATACGAGTAGAACTCGGCTATGGTTAGAGGTACCCAGACGAACTTCTTTCCAGCTTTCACTCTCTTTTCGGCATTGCTGTTGGTGTTTCGGACGATTGTCTTGACTGCAGAGTTGGGTAAAAAGAGTTGGAACAACTGTAAGGGTGTATACGTTCTGTCCGTCGTGAGTTGTGGACCTGGAGGTCGCTTGGGAGAGAAATTCGGTAGTAGCGGTTCCTCATCCTCATTGGTGATGTCAAGCCACTTATCTGGCTTACTGTCAACTTTCGTCCAAGGTAAATCCAAGGCAGATGATGACTTGCCTCTGGTTTGTCTTGGTGAATAAGGAGTTGCGACGAGCTTCAGTTTCTCTTTGGTCGAAGCAGGTTGCGGCATAGCTTCAGATGTGGAAGCAGGTTCGGGATTGGGTTCAGAATTGATGGAGATTGAGGGATTGGGAGCGGGATCCAAACTTGATGCTGGAATGGGATCAGCGGAGGGATCGGAGATGGTTATGGGAGTGGAATCAGCAGCTGGTAATGAATTTGGGAGGGTTGTAGGAGCAGGAGCAGGGGTTGGTTTAAGTATAAGGTTGGGTTTTAAAGCATGCTTCCGGGGCCGGCCTCTCTTTCGTGGTAATGTGGGTGCTGGACTAGGGATGGGCGCGGGAGTGGAATTATGGTTGGTCGTGGGAGGGGCTTCAGGGGCGGGATAAGTGAAGGCTTCAAAAGTGGGTGTGGGCGTGGCTTTAGAAGCAGGTTCAGATGTGGATATAGAGAGTTTGTCTATCGGTCCTGATGATGTGGGTGTAGGGGGGTTGCCTATTCTTGGCGACTGAGCTGATGCAGGTGATTTTGAACGATCCGGACTTTCCAGAAGAGGGTTCCAATCGTCACCAGAATCAAGACTGAAATACAAAACAAACACACTTTATATGCATGAATTCAGTGGCCACAATAACAACAACTGAAAACTAGTAATTAGTATCTGGGTCAACCCTATAAAGCCTTACATGAAATAATAGTTAAAAAATAAAAAACTATTGAACCTTCAGACAAAATTAATAAATAAACAAGTTTGCATGTGTTTTAGTTGAGTATCACATTTGATACATCAGGCTTTTATTGCTCATACAGTATGATATAGGATAATATATAGGACTTGTACTCCAGGAGGAAAAAACACCTCAAATCTATTCAGAGACCAAAAACTGAACAAGAATATGCATTTTGGTGCAGGTTCTGATATTTATAAGGCTTTTTAAGACCTTTTTAGGACACAAAGAAATACAAATTCATACTGTATGTTAGAGCAGTGCAATGCTGACAAAAAATTATATTTCCATATGTTTGGGGATTTTGTTGATTAGACAACAAACAATTAGACAACATTTTGCGGAGCAAGTTTTTTAATGCATTCACTACATATATATATAATGCTATGAGGCTGTTTTTATTAAATATTTAATTGAAATTTAAAGGTACCAGCACTTTAAATAAAAAGTAAAACTGCCAGTAGATGGTGGCAAGTCACTGTGTTATGAGTGAATTAATAATTAAACTGATTTGTTCAAAACACTAATTAATTCAAGAACAAAGCACTGCTGTGTTGCTCAGAGATGCACAACTGTTCTGCTTATCTGCTGTGGTTTCATTTGGAAAGTTTCCTTTCTCAAAATTGATTAAAAATACATTGAATATATACTGAATTTATAGTATTTATTTATTGGTTGTTTATTGAACTGTTAAATCAACATCACATTTGCAATCGTGCTAATATTTAGGAAAAGCACTTTTGCACATGAAAGAACAAGCTCGCAAAATCACAATACATAATTTTTCAAAGATTATTTAAATTAAACAGAAGCGTGCCAAATGCTACGTATGTAAACAAGACTACATACAATAACAACACTGAGTTGCACTAAACTGCTATATTTTTAGATTTTAGACCTTAACTCAAAACTTAATGCCTATCAGAAAAGAACACACATATTTAAGACATTTTAATCAAATTTCAGATTTTTTAGACTTTCTAACGACTCACGGGAATCCTTTATGATCAAAGCTCTGTATTTTTTATTGTGGAGAACAATATATACAATACAATCCAATACAATGATGACTGAGAGATTAAAAAAAATAAAATAAATGTTCGTCAAAAGCCTGATGATCATATTTGATACGCACATTTGAACTCGATATTTCTAAAAAGGATATATGGATAATCAAGTAAATCTAAGCAGCTTCAGTCCAAGTGTTTATCTTCAAATATTATTGACATAACCCTTTCAAGAATCTTCAAGTTTTTTTTTTTATATATAAATAAGAGAAATAGGAACAGAAAGCAATTGCTTTCATTGTATAGAATTTTATTTTGTATTAAAAAAAAAGTGACTATGGCTGTTCACACAACGTTGCTGCATTCTACTCGATGGATGCTTTTGACCACTGTGACCATGTCTTGCATCTTTAGCAAACAAGTTCAATGTATCACGAGACCTTTATATTAGATGCAAAAAAAATTCTGTGTTAATAAACTGGAATGACAAAAATCTACAATAAATGCAAGACTTCCTTACTCACTCTTCTTCCCACAGTTCCTCTTCCCTCCCCGAATCACTGATCTCGTCGCTGTCGCCATCAAGGTCACTGTTGATGTCGCTGTCGCTGTCGGCCCAAGGCCTGATGGGTGCAGGATTAGGGTTGTAATCAGATGTGAATAGAGCGGTCAATTGTTCATCGATGGTTGTGGGAGTGGGTTGAGAGGTGGGCACATGATCAGAAGTGGCTATGGGTGCAAGTTCAGGCAGAGGACTAGGGGTAGTTTCTGAGCTGTGCTTCAAGGGTCTGTCTGTCCGTGGAGGTGTTGTGGATTGAGGGATCGGAGATGAGAGTCGTTGCCTCTTTGCATTCTGTGATTCTGAACGCTCTAGGCTTTCTTTATTTGTAATAGGCCATTCTTCAATAGCATCCACACTGTAACACAAACCAAAGATGCTTCATTATGCATGCATGTCGCACAATTTACACTACCGTTCAAAAGTTTGGGTTTAGTGAGTTTTTTTAATGTTTTTAAAAGAAGTCTCTTATGCTCACAAGGTTGCATTTGTTTAGCAAAAATTGATATTGTGAATATTAAATTTTAAAATAGCTGTTTTCTACTGAACTATCTTTTAAAATGTAAATTATTGCTTTGATCAAAGCTGAATTTTCAGCATCATTAGCTTCAGTGTCTAATGATCCTTCAGAAATCATTCTAATATGCTGATTTAATGCTCAATTAATACAATTATTTTCATTATTATGTGATTATTATTAATTATTATTACATTGTTTTGTTTGACAAATAAATATTTTGTAGCATTATAAATGTTTTTACTGTCACTTTTGATGAATTGTGTCCTTGCTTAATAAAATATTAGTTTCTAAAAAAAAAAAAAAAAAATCAAAGGCAAAGGCAAAACAAAGAGAAAAAAATCATTAATCGAATGATTGAAATGTGTCCAGGTAACATTACTATGGAAGTCCCGAAAAAATTAAAATAAAATAAGAAATGTAACGGCAACTGTTTATCTCTCAATTCAGACATTTTCTTACAATTCTGAGTTTACAACTCATAATTATTACTTTTTGTTTTTCTCTCAGAGTTGTTAGAAAAATTCAAAATTTCAAGATATAAACTCGCAATTTTTAACTCACAGTTCTGAGAAAAAAGCCCAAATTGTGAAATATAAACTCACAAATTTATAAATATAAACTTGCAAATATTTGTGGCATGGGAAAAAAAAAAAAAAAGAAGAAATTGCAAGATGTAAACTCAGAATTATGAGAAGTCAGAATTCTGAGATAAATATGCAGAATTCTAAGAAAAATTCCAAATAGTGAGATTTTTGTTTTTTTTTGTGGCAGAAACAGGGTTCAATACATTATACTGTAAACCAAATGTAAAAAAATAAATGGAAATTCTTTTACTCATGCATTTACTCACTTCTCTTCCCATGGTTCCTCTTCCTTCACCGCCTTGATCTCGTTGGTGTCGCCGTCTAACAGAAGCCCTGTTGATGTTGGTGTACAGACGAATGTGGCTATCGGTGCTTGATGGGAGGCGGCTGTGGAATTCGGGCTGAGTTTAAAAGTGGAAGCGGGATTAGAGATGAGTATAGGTGTAGAATTAGGGTTCAGTTTAATGGAGGAGGAGGCATTGGTAAGGGTTATAGGAGTGAAATTAGAGCTAAGTGTAAAGGTGGATGTGGAATGTGGGCCGAATTTAATGGAGGAATTAGGGATCAGCGTGGCATAAAGAGGGGGTTTAGGCACTATCGCGGGATACGGGCTGGGTTTGGGAAAGAGTTTGGCTTTAGATTTGTCTTTAGGCGGTCTGCCTCTCCGTCGAGGTAAAGAGATGGCTGGGTTTTTTTTCGGCGTGTGGGCCATTGCTGGTGCTGCTGGGGAGGGTTTCAAAGCATTTTTAGGTGGCCGTCCTCTCCGGCGTGGTAAAGACGATGAAGGCGAGGAGGATGAGTTCCTCTTTAGTTTTGAGCGCCTGAGAGGCTCCCATTCTTCAGAAGAATCAATACTGTAACATATAATGAATACACTTAATTGTTATATCACATTAAAGAGGTTTATTGTTATTCATTACACTTTAGGCAAAGGAAAGCATTAAAACCACAGGGAAAAAAACAGATTCATGAATGCAAACGATACATGCAAAAAATACATTGACTACAGTGCCTGCAAGACTGCTTTGCTATTCTTTGCCGTCTCATTTGATATTAATTCTGCTCAACACGTTTCATAATGAAGCGCTGCACTGTTTTCATTTACACACGAACCGCTCACAATCCAGTGTTTTCAGCGTCTCAGTTCACAGGAAATGCTGCTCTACATAAACTCATCACTAAATTTGCTCGGAGTTTGGGTCGCTTATAATGTGCATTTAAGAACCATATTCCCAAACTTTCAATGAGAATTGCTTATAAACGTGCTGTTGACAATAAAAGCGAAACTTTACCGGCTCCCTGCTGTTGTACCGACAAACTAAACATTTGAAAATTAAGACATCCATAAATATTAGTACGGTAATTTTACAGTTATACTGTGAAATAAAATAAATTTTATTATATATATATATTTTTTTTATTACAGTGAAATATTACAATAGCAGCACCATTCCTTATTTTGTTTATTTTTTATTATAATCATTATCATTATTATTTTATAGTCATATTGATATATGAATCACAAAAAAACTTACTTTAATTAGAAAATGCTCCCTGTCTGGCAATAATTTTAATTTATCATAAAAGAAGAGAATGCATTCTGCTGATTATCTGCACTATGTCTGGCATGGGGGAAAAAAGGGTCAAAGTTTGACTTGTTAACAATGCTATAACCATACCATTTGGCGGCAAGAATCACCTTTCCTCTTAAAAAGCTGTGCATTTTTTGCAAACAGCATATACATGCACAGTTCCCATAGCAGATTGTTGTTTTTGTTGCATAGCAACGATGCTTCACCAGTGTCAGACCCTTTTGTCGACTATAATTAATAGAGAAACTGACTGCTTTCTCCATGTATTATAGACTTTCTTGGGCACAGATGATCACTGCATCTTGTCCCAATTATACATAGTTGCCTGTATAAGCATAGCAGTTTTTAACAGTTTGAAATGGGGTGCATCTTTTTTTTTTTTTTTTTTTTAGAATATCCAATAGCCTTTAGTTTATGTCACAATATTTAGAGGACTGGACATTCCTATACATTTAATTGGAGCAAAATATGGATACGCCCCTGAGTGCAAGATGACGTCATTCCGATTTTTGCCCATTTCGCAGACGAGAAAAACTGTTGCGACGTGAAAGCAGACCCTTTTATTTATACATTTAGAACCACATATATGCGAAATACCACTGAAAATATTTATTTCAGTGCACTCTTGTTAGTGCTGTCTTGACTCTTGCTCCTTGTCTTTTTGTTTGATTTGATAATGTAAAAAAAAATAAATAAATTAAATAAAAACTGCTGTTTGTTTTTTACTGCTCTTTTTCATAATGCTGTATATAAGAAAAACTGCTTAAGTTAAGTGACAATTGTAGAATGTAGTTGTGTAGTGCATCATATTTGCACAGCTTGTTGTATACATTTGACCATTTTAATAAACAAATATATAATTTCCTTTATTTCTTATTTTGTCTGGTCACGTGATTTCTGAATTGCACTCTTTTATTGCACATTGCATATTAATTACTTTACAGATCTTTTCAGATCTTATTTTATATTTATATCACATACGGCACACCAATTCCATGCATGTTGTACTTGGTAATTGCAATTATGAGTTCTTACTCCATCTTACCCTGGGATGCAGACACAGCAAACAGATTTTTCCTGAGTTGACAACCTGTCCGACTGAATCCGTGTTTGTGCCGTACAGGTTCTGTTCAAACTCGCCCGACTCGGTGAACTTCACACACAGCGGGCTAGAGTGAGCGGAGGGCGGGGGGCTAAAGAACGGCGCGGCCGGTGGATTCGACGAAGGAGCGGACGGCAGGCTTGCGGCAACCACATGTGACGACCCCCGGCTGGACTCAAACAAAGTAGTTTCGCTTTCACAACGAAACACACAGCGCCTTCACGACATGGCGGCGGCGGCAGCAA